CACTACGTCTACGCCATCTTATACGCATACACAACATGCATCAGATCTGAGTAAGTTCTGTTGTCCCCAAAGACTTAGTCCTCCCCACTCATATGCTTGTACATGTCCAGGAAGATCTGCGGGACGTCAGGGCCAAACGCGATCTCGACGTACTGGAAGCTCATCTCCGCAAACTTCTGTGCATGCGCACAATTCTTGTCCTCAATGGCTGCCAGAGCCGCTTCTCTCTCCTCGACGCTCATCCCCTTCGATACCGCATTCGCCAGCACCGTCCCAAGCTCGAGCCCGTCAAGCATTGCGACGTTGGCCCCCCATGCCCGCGTATGGACTCATCAGGTGTGCCGCGTCCCCAATGATCGTCACTCCCGGCGTATGCGTCCATCGGTGGTCGGCGGGGAGGTAGAACAGCGGCCGAGGATAGATCGCGTCGTCGGCGCAGACGTCAATGATCTTATGGACCCACGCCGCCCAGCCCTCGAACATCTCGTGCAGCACGCGCCGCGCCTCCTGCGGCTCGTGAGGGAGCTTCCAATCGAGCGACCCGCGGAACCAGACGTACGCACGGATACGCCCGTCGCCGTTGCGCTGGCAGGAGATGACCTTGCCGTCCTCAGCGCAGCTGCAAGTCCCGAGCCCGACGGCGTCGCGGATAGCCGCGTTCTCGGGTAGCGCAGCGACTGCGGGCGGGATAGAAATCTCCGCACCGTTGACACCGTAGTAGATGGGCGTGGCGGAAGACACTAGCGGGCGTACACGAGAGTTGGCTCCGTCCGCCCCGATGAGGTAGTCGCTGACGACGACAGCCCCATTGGCGAAGGTGAGCTCGTGCTTGCCGGTGCCGTCGGCGAGCGGGCGTACAGATGCGAGGGTGTGACCCCACTTGATTGCGTCCTCGAGGATGGCAGCGAGCATGATCTCGCGGAGAACGCGGCGGTCGATCTCGGGGCGGGCCTTCGTCTCGTCTGGGATGTCGGCCTCGGTGCGCCCAGCGAGTACGACACCGTCCTTGCCGCAGAGGCGACTCTCCTGGGCCTCGAGGCGCGAGTTTTTCTTGAAGACCTCGGCGAGCCCGTTTTCGCGCAGGGCGCGCTGCCCTTCATCCCAGGTGAGGTCCAACATCCCGCCCACGTAGGCACGAGATTTGCTGCTCGCCTCTCTCTCGTAGAGCGTGGCCTTGACGCCGCGGTTGTGGAGAGACAGAAGGGTGGTGAGCCCCGCTGGGCCTCCGCCGATGATGGCGATGGTGGGCTGGGTTACGGTAGAGGAGGCGGAAGTCATTGGCCGAGGTAATCTCTTGAAGTCAGTCTGGCTGGAGAGAATGGTTCAGGAGCCCGGAATCGACGAGTATCTTGTCGTTCGCCAGATGCAAATGAGAGCCCTTTATATCCTCTATAGAACTCTGGAAGCATTTCTACCACTCATCAGAGTGTACGTGAACGAATCCTTACCACACTGGCGGCGGCATACTCTCTCGCTTCTGACGCTGATCGCGAGGGTACTGGCTTCCTCGGTGCCGCTGTCGCGCGTCATGCAAGGCCAGCTACAACCGCCGTTCGCCGTCTAGCCGCATCATTCGTGTTGAGGGGCACGAGACCCCATGCACATGGAAGAGGCTCAGCGCGCGTTGCCGCCCGACACGCAAGTTCTCGGCGATAGTCCATCGGAAACCATAGGTAATGCCGCGATTCGACTTGTCCCGACATGGTTTGGTTCTTGCATCCGGAAGAGTCCACAGTAGGGAGATGGCGAGAGGCCGGCTCAAATATCGGTACCTCATAGCAATTCATCAGCGAGGAGCTCCAAAGCCCTTGGGGGTCGAAGGTAACATAGGGACAAACGAAGGAGCCCTCCGCCTCCACGACATGGGCTCGTCCAAGATGATAAGTGTAAAATTCGTGAACACATTCCTAGTTCAGCGATACACCGAGAGCCGCGAAAATTAACACTTGGATCGCAACGAAGTCATCATCCTCATGACTGGAAACTCGAGAACGCACCTCACCTGCCAAATGCCCTTCGCCATCCAGTTCGTCGCGAATCTGACGGCAAAGATAACCAGGGACGCGCGGCGGACCAACCGTGAGAGAGGCTCTTCATGTAGCACGTCTCCCTCCTGTGTCTCCATCACGGCGATAGCGAGTAACGGGGCTACATTCATTAACTCGCGCAAAGGGATGAATCGACGCTTGGCAACTCTTGCGTCTCCAGACATACCTAGTGACTCGAGTGAGTGGCACGGGAGCACCGTGGATGGGGATGGAGACACGGACCAGTGCCACGCTAGCAGGTCACCTTGGATGATCGACGCAATAGCAGCCTCGCTAGCCATCTGCATACACTAAAGACAACCGGAAATCACTCACAACATCACTTCATTTCAACGTCTTCTTCGTACACTGCTTCTTTGTCTTTACCGTCCCCCTCCCCGCTCTCCGACCGCGTCCGCTTGACCTCTCTCCCCGCCTCCGCCTGCGTCTCGGCTACTTCACTCGCCCCGCGCTTCTGCTGCTCCTTCTCCTGGATTTTCGCCAGCAGAGCCTTCTTTTTCTTGAGCCGCCCGAGCTCGCGCTGCGTGAGCCCCTTGCCGTCTGTGTCCAGGTCGACGGCGGCCGCCTCGGAGAGCGTGTCCCGGATGAGCGGGTCGTGTTCGGGGTCGACGTTCTTCGGCATTGAGGACAGGTCGGAGTAGAGGTCGAGGGCCTTGAGGTCCTCGGGCGTTGCTGGGACCAGAAACGGTCAGAACATTGTTTGTGGACAATGAGAGAGCGCATACCAGGAACGAGGCAATTTGAATTGAGGGACGCGAGGAGCTTGGAGTCGCTGGAGGTCGCCTCGGACAGCTGCGTACGAAAGTAAGATCAGATTGTTTTGAGTAACTACTAGTAACACGTACCGTCGCCCCATCCCATGTAAGTAACCGGACAAATTGAGGCTTCTCTGCAGATGGTGGGTCGCTCCACTCAGCATCTAGCAACGCCCAGACATCGCCATTGGGACCGACTGTGAAGTCGCTCACAGGCACACCGAACTCCACTGTATGCACGGGCATGTTTGATTTGCCCTCGGCGGGTAGAGCCGTGTAAAACAGAGCAGTCGCGCTGAGGGACTTGCTGTGAGCACATACAGGTAGGCAACAGTAATATACACGACTTACCCGACGGCGTTGAAGATGATAAATCGGCCATGCTTGCCGCGATCCACGGACGAGATTCTGTGCGCGACAAAGACCAGGACCTCTTCCGGCGCCGCAGAGGACGCCTGAGTATCGCCCTTGCCGGGGTCCTGAGCAGCAGCATCGGGCATTGGCGAATCCCCATGCTCTTCATTCGCCTTCGGCTCCGTAGCCTCCGCCTCCTCAACATCTGCGCTGTCTTCGCGAGCCTCCTCCTTATTCTTGCCCTTGCCCTTCCCACGATTCCGACGACCGCGTCCCTTGCCCTTCTTCTGCTCTCCCTCACCTCCCTCACCTTCTCCATCGCCATCGCCATCGCTCCCTCCGCGCCGCCGCTTCGGAGCTTTGACCTTGATGTACGGCTCCACGGTCGGGAAGACGTTAATGCTCGCGAGGAGCTTGCCGGACATCCAATCCCACACCTTCAGCATCGGATCGCCACCTCCCGAGACAAGTGTGGATGGCTGAAAGGAAGGGATATGGAGGGCAGAAACGAATCTGTCGATTGGAGGTCAGTATTGTTCCAGTGGTAGAGGAACAACTCATAATAGCTAGCTCTTTGCGAGTCGCAAACAGGTCGGGACCAGCGAGGTCATTTGGCCCGGTCATTATTAACCCGATGCAAACCCACCTCCAGCCTCGGGGCAACGCCGGTGAGGCTCCACTTCACCATAAAGAAAGCATGAGCTTCCATCCCACAGGACATCGTAACTGACGATGATCTACAGGACTGACAGTCCGTCAATCCTTCCACTTGTACGAAGACAACCGAGACGAGGTGATGAGCAGGCTACAGAACGGGTGGTTAAGCCTTAGTCTGTCGCCTTCTACGCGCGTGCTAAGCCCATGATGACCGAGGTGTCGTCCACACTCAAAATGGACAATGCTTGCACCGGAGCCGGGCCATGGACATAGAAGAGGGTATGAGGTATAGGAGCAAGGTACGCACTTTTCGTGGCCAAGGCAGTACCGCTCGATGTTGTACCCTTGGGGATACCAGCTCACCCGTATGTGCTCGTCGCGATCTGCAGTGACGATGTATCGCTCGTCAGGGGTGAGCAGGAAGGTGGTGAGCATGGAGGCATGACCAAGGATGAGGGTGCCATTGGAGGGGTTTTCGTGCGAGGTCAGAGAGCCGCGTTTTGAGGTACTTGCCTGTTCCGAAGAAGACATAGAAAGGGGTTCCGGATGGAGCGGGTAGCTGGACGCGCCATGTTCATCGGATGCATTTCTTGCGCAAGAGTCCAGTGCGAACATACCTGAATACGTCTCCAAACTTGTCGCTGACGACAATAGTTTGCCCATCTTGCGTGAAGGAAACTTCAGTCGGCTTTTTAGGTAGCTCGCTGGCAATACATAATGCGTTCAGATTGTAACTGACGGGGGAAAAACAATACGAGCGCACCGTTCGTTCACGAGCTGCAGATTGTCCGTGACACTGCTCCACACCTTCAACTTCTTGTCATCACCAGTCGTTGTAATATGAGCTCTCTTTGCATCAACCGCTACACAACGAATAGGGCCGGACTTTCGAAGCTTCTCCAGAACATCGTCCGCGAAGGTAGCGGTGGATTGGAGGAGATCGCCAGTGCTAGTGCGAGTCGACTCAGTCCGTGACAATGAATGCGCTGACAACGTCCGACGCACGTTGGATTCAAGACATGAAAATGATATCCAGATACGAGAAGGGAGATGTCCTGCTCAAGGACGAGGTGAGTGGGCGGGTAGTGTGCCATATCTCGAGAAGCTGGAATCCTTCCCGGAGTCTGTCTTTCTCCCTACGGGACATCCTGGCCATATAGGTGTATTGTGTCGTTACAATCATAAGTCTCTGTTAGTATATCGGTCAGTACACGCGCCTGTCATTTGGCGTTGTTGTCAATGCATCGGTCGCGCGAAAGCGGGGTTCGACTCCCCGACAGAGAGCTAAGAGTAACGGTTTTGCTTTTTATCTCTTTGATGATCTGAGATGACAAGCTTGTCGTCTCCTGTTCATACACTCAGTTCCAAGATACATATCCTTGCTGCATATCCTTCGTGTTCTCTTCAACCGGGAAGCAAGGCAACCATGCATCCAAAGCGAGTTCGAACAACCCCAACCCGGCATAGAACGGTTCTTGCGCAACGGGACTGTAGAACCCTACCGTCTTGAAGTCGGTGTGGTTGGAATCTGGCGTCAGCAGCACGCGCAAGTCGGACACATGCACCATGTTTGCGTGCGTGAGACCGAAAAAGGATGGGAACTCTGGAGCTGCGTTACACCTATCGTCCGGCCGAAACGTCAGAGCGCTGTGACACTCTCTGATGAAGGAACGTACCGAGGGACTACAACAGAAGGAATGCGGTGAGGCGAGTTCGTCTCAATGGAGGCAAGTCCCATGGTGCGCCATGGATCGACTGTAGCCAGGAAGAGTGCGCTTGTCAAGCTATGGTCAGATAAGCGAGGGGAATACGCACATTCCCCATTAGTGAAGAAGACGTTTGAGGGCGTCATGTTCCACCCGCCGTACTTGTTGATGTTTTCGACAGCTGGAGCAGGCGGCAGTCCACTGGGGAAGGCATCATTGCACTGCTGCTGAAAGCGTTCGAGAGAGCGGAAGGACGTTTCGATCGAGAGAGGGTTGCTCCGATCGCCGCGCTGGTAGAATCCTTGGCGCGGTAGGTCAGTCAAAGCCGGTGGAAGAACAGATAGTACTGCGACGAACCATATTCAGAGCAGTATTGCCACATCCACGACCGGTCCTGGACGGGATCGTCGGCATTTCCGGGGATGGCGTCGTAATTTACCTCTTTGATCGCCGTCAAGAAAGCTTCTAGCGCAGAGTCGATCCCGGAGGTCGCCGCTAGTCCAGTCTCCACTGGAGTGATCGTAAAATTGCGCGTCTCCAGGACGTTGCAGAAGGGCAGAACCGACGCCTCGAACCCATAGTACTGCGGAGGTAGGTAAGCGATACGGCCTTTAACGCGCATAGATGACTTTGAACGCACTTGATAGAAGTTCAACGGGTCCATGAGCACGCTTGCAGCGCTAACATCGCTCGCATTCGCTGCCTGCTCCCGTGTGATTCCGTCCTGTCTCGCACTCAACAGCCTGAACTTGAGGTCCGCAGCGGCGTCCGCAGTGCCATTGGCTAGGGTGTCGTCCACGTAGCGCGTAACAGCGACCCAGTCCGCAGAGCAATTTCTAGTCAAGCTGCGTTCGGCGGCCTTGTAGTAAGAAGCCATGTCGATCTGCGCTTGGACAGGGGCAGAAGAGGCCCAGACGGCGAAAATGGTCTCGGGGTTACGCACACGGAGGAGCGCACCCCGGACTCCTGGGTAGGAACCTCCGAGCCAGACCCAGGGCGTGTTCGAGGGATGGAGAGCGTTATCTGACGCGGATGTGGTAGCATTCGAGATAGAACCAGGAAGAGCGGAATCGAGAGAGAACCGATTCGCGAAGTATACGACGTCCTCGAGAGCTTGATCAGTGGTTAGGAATTGCCACTGCTCCGCCGTTGTGTTTTCCTAGAGGACCAGCATATCAGTCATCACGCTTCGTGAGCAATCAATGGCGACCTACGTTAACATGGAAGGGCAAGGAGTCGCCATAATAACGGTGTTCCCAGAGAATGGCAAGCCCGTTGTACCTCTTGGCGAGTCGCATGGTTGCAGACAGTCCATGGTACTCCTGCTCAGCTCGTCAGAATAATTATGTCCCTCCAGTAAGTCGAGACTTCTTGGCATGCCTGAAGATAGTACGGGAGCAGTGGCTCCGCGTTCTGCTCTCCGGAGTCGAAGACTAAACGTGCAGAGTCAGTTGTTAGCACGGCTGGAGAGACTACTTGCAGTAACACGCACGAAAGACGGGTCCTCCACGTTTGTAGTAGGTGTCGTTTATCCAATACCGGTTCTTGAACGTCCCATTTATCCCTCCAAAGTGGTCAAGCGGCATCTTGTAAGGTGTTAGTTGCATACCTGTGCTACGTTGATACCCATACAAGCGACTTACGTCGAAGAAGAGCGCTCCGTTGGGCGCGGTATCGCCTCGTCGCATCGGAGTCGTATTTTCATTGTATCGCAAGCTAGGAATAGAGTGAAGCGCGGCCACACAAACCAGAAGCTGCGAGAGGAAAGCCAAGAGAATGATTGTTGTGGTCATCACGGTGATTTGAAGCTACTAGTAGGGCCGAGCGATAGGCCATAGCTGTGGTGAGGAGAGTCACTATATACCCCGTTGCGGGTGATCCATGACCTCACGGAGCAGCGGCGGAGGAGATAAGAGGGTGGCGTGGTCGAACTTCGTAAATTCGCAAGTTCGACCATGTGTATCATATCGAGCTGGCGGTCCGGCGCACTGTCATACGCCCCACGGATGTTCAGATCGTATGGTCCGATCGACATCACGGAGCATTCGGCATATAGGTCGAATTCAAGACAGGAGCAGGGCTCAAGACAGGAGCATGGCACAGAGTCACAGTGGGGAGGGAGAAGACAACTTTAGCAACGCAAGCGCTTGGATCACAAGCTCAAGCGCTCAAGGGTGTCTCATTTCGATTTCGCGGGGATGTCTAGCAAGTTCTTAGTTAAGAGACTTGCTCCTGTTTGTAGAGGCTGCTGTCGAGCCTGTTGGTCTTGAACTAGGTGGAAGCATAAAAATAAAAACTGATGAGAGTGGGATTCGAACCCACGCCCTTTCGGACCAGATTGGACAGCATCTCAATGGATTTGCCTTAGTCTGGCGCCTTAGACCGCTCGGCCATCTCACCATAATGGTGAGTGCCTTATATATGTATCTGAGGCCGGCGGTTCCTGGGGCCACTTGGGAACTCCGAGAGGTCTGCGAACGTTGAGCAGCGAAACAAACCGCGTCAAAATCACAGCGACATCCATGGCCTCTGCGGGCGTATCACCTCATCGTAGGAGATGCATCAGCGCCACCCTTCTTCTATCCCCGGAACTTCTGAGCAACCAAGGCGCCAGATGAGGCCTTCTATTGCGCACCATCCCCATCGGGGATAACATGTACCTGCCTACATTTGACTTATTCCCGATGACCCAGGCCGAGCTCGACTACCTGATATGGGTATCAACACGAGATCAAAGTCCTCAGACATTTTCTCAAGTGTACTTGAGCAAAACTTCAAGACATCTGAAGTGAACAGCATGGATCAGCGACAAGCGCAGTGGAGGGTAAGCACGCGCATTCGGTGCAACAGACAGACCTTCTGTTCGACTATACCAGCGTATCTTGGTCGGGAGACAGGGGAGACTCGGCGATGTGACTTATATCCGTCCCGCTCTCCGCGTCGACGACGAGCTGCGTTACGACCTTGAGCTCAATGTCCTTGGAGTCGCGGCGTCCCACGGGCTGGTCATATCGCAACTGCAGGAACAGGCGGCCGACGTCTGATCAGTTAGCGAAGTAGGGAGAGACAGACAAGACGTGGACGCACATCGGAGACCGTGACGCGGCGGTGCGTGCTCATGCTCGAGGGGTGGCTGCCATTGACGATCGTCGGGCTGAAAGGTGTGGTCTCGTTTACTATGCCGCCTCGGTCGACAACGAGGGACTGGCGTGCGTTGAGGCTAGGTGTAACATTCTCAGGTCCTACTAGACGGAGGTCCCACAAGGTCGGTACTTACGACACCAGGAACGTGTTCGAGTATACTGTGTGGTGGCAACGTGAGAGAGCACAGCACAGATAGAATGCATGGAACGCACGCTTGGTGAGGATGAAGCAGACGGCTGTAAAGATCATGTTGTCGGGCCAAAGGAGAGACTAGGATGTGTGTGTTGTCAGATTCGAAGGAAGTGTCGTTGGGCCAGATTATCTGCGTACCGATACGACGTTCAGGACGTTGAAGACGCTAAAGGAGCGGTCAGAACCCCTCGCGACTGTCTTGTTCGGGTGTCGCCTACTCACCAAATGAGAAGACCTAGGGCGACGCGAGAGTTTGTCAGCTAGGGAAAGATAAGGACTGTTGCTCCAAGAGCACTCACCACTGCTGATGGCATAAAGAATGAGCATGTCAAGGAGCGAATCGGTGCTGTTGAAAGGTCGGTCTAGTAAGGCCTGTGCACTTTTATCAGCCCAGCGGACAGTACACGCACCGGGTAACGCCAGTATGGTTACGTCGCAAGAACCAAATAAGCACGATGGTCATCATCAGGTCGGCAGCCATGATGAGGCCCGAGGCTGTTGATGCAAGCCACTGAAGCACTGTCAGCTTCAATTCGCGAAAGGAAAATTGTGGCGAGTGCTCACTGAGAGATCGAGAAACTCGGCCATTGTGGGTTTGTTCCACCTGCGACGAAGTAGATCTCAGTGCACTGCGAGACTTCGAGCATATATACCCATACGGACCCCATGCCTGTTAGTGCTGTACGAGCATGAGTACTGAGTGTCATGTAGCAGAGGACACGAGGCGTACCAATGAAACAGCCTAGATCGCGGACCTATCAGCGACATGTAGAGTACAAGTGAAGGTCGTCCTGACGCACCACAGAAGGAGAGCATGAGCAAAACCTATCGATTCGGTTCTGGGTCACTCAAGCGCATTTGAAGAAGAACATCGAGGACGTACGGCGAGGACGGCGACCGGCCTGAATTTCCTATTGACTGTATGCAGTTTGACGATCAGACGCCGTCGAATCCCGAGGTAGAAGGTACTCACCAAGGTATATGCGTCGAGCGAAGAACCTGCAATACTGCCTGTCAGGTATATCTAGTACTCATTGGCGGTGATTACTCACGCCTGAGTAATGACGGCGGAAAGAGACTGCGGTCGATATCAGCAAGAGTCTGTAATCGATGGCTCAGGTGGTGCACTCACAGCAGGCACTGGGAGGATCTATGCAGTCCAACATTGAAATCAGATAGACGGGTTTCAAGCAGATCGTACAGACCTTGAGAGACCTGCGTAGATACCATAGATAAGCGGCGGCGGAAGGAGTATCGAGACTAGAGATACTCGCCATACGGGACTAGAGAGCAAAACGACCGGATTGAAGTAGTTTGTTATGAGATAGAAGTAACTGCAGTAGAGGAGTTCAATGAAAAGAGTGACCAAATAACAAACTGTATCGTTGTAGAAGTTGACGGACCATGTATGCATGACCAGCGCGGTATTGACGAGCTCCATGAACCTGCTCCGAGTTGAGCGGTTACGTACTGTACGTCGCCACCAACGTCACGGACGTACAATAGCAAAACCACCTGATACATGAAAGATTCAGAACACATGAAGTCCGAGAGAGACGGCATATACATACCCATATCTTGAGGTACACAGGGTCTCCGGGGTATAGCCGGAAGTACCGATACGTCTGATGAAAGCCTACTCCTTGCAATCTATAGTGAGGTCAGTCCTGGCAACAGGCGTACGACTGGAAGCGTGAACTCACAGAGTCCCTAAGAACGCGCCGATGAGGAATGCCCCCATCGTGTCACCGAGCGAGGGGAACGCCGGGAGTGGTCCCACCGCGCGTGTACCCGACTCGGAAGTGCTCATGACGAGTCCAGCGTTCGAGATCATGGCTGTCGACTGGGATGCTCGGGGTCAATTGCTGCTCCATGTCGTTCCTGCATACTTATATGTGTTCATGGTCCTCACGAAGCTTCTTCGGCGTTTGCTCAGGGTCTTCTGAGCCGCCACTGTATATTCTGAACCAAATCAGTGGACATCGGGCAGCAGGTTGTTCCTCAGGGTCTCTGTGTGCCGGCTTTTTTGAGTCGAGTGTCAGAAAAAAACATTAGAGCGACTCGTAGCATACGACCTAGCTCGAGCTGGAGGCAGCTGGGAGCCATCACGGCGGCACGTCCGAGGTCGCGGCAGTCAAGTTCAAGTTGTGCTGTGAGCGCTTCCTTTTTCGCCTGCGTCACGTAGTCTGTCACATTCTCTGGGTCAGTCTCGACCGTCCTTCATGTCGTCCGCTTCACTTGACCCTTACGTTGAGCTCCTTCGTTCACTTCAGAAGCAGATGGCTATATAGAAAATGTATCAGGTCTTCTTCGAACTGACACGCTGAGTTATACGGTTGTCATGAGACACCGGTGCTAGCAGGAAGCACGTCGTCAGCAGGGTCCACCGGACGCGCTGACGCTGAGATTTCAACATAGCAAGCCTGATCATGAGCGGGGAGAATTTTTATGGGTGCACTGCTACCGTGTGCACGATGCGGAGTTTGTGAGTGGAAACTAATTGCCCCACACCAAACCCTTCGATGGCTCACTTGTTCAGGGTGCTCGACTCCGATCGAGTGACTTGTACAGTACTGACACAGTCTCGCACCCCGCGACGGACTCGATATCGTCTACTGGCCCTGGCACACACAGAATGGAAGCATGTTGCGATACCATCGCGACGTCGATCAAGTCGCTCATCCTGTGGATTCGTCATCGCATCACCATCTTTAGGTTACATTCGGCGTTGCTCAAGCACGTCTCTTGGTCCCACTCCTCGTGCACAGAGGGTCGCGATCCTCTGTTCGTGCTTCTAATTTACGTCAAGTGGGTGCAGCGCGGGAATGCGCACCATCGCCCAGTGGAGAAGACTCAGAAGAGTCCGAGATGCGCTGAGAACCGTCGTATTCTGTCCAGGCTACGCCGCGTGACCACGATCCTCCATCCGCGCAGGTAGCGGGAGCATGGTTTTCCGATCTGATAAGCTTGGCTGTCGTCTCTGTCTTTCCTGAAGTACTGATCCAATCTTGTTGGCCGAACTGTATGGTTGGACTGCAGGGCAACTTGATGGTACATCGGGCCGGATACAAGGCTCCCAGGGGAGAACAGGGTTCGGTGTACCCGGTACTCGCATATCACAGTGATTCATCCGTAATATCGAGGCGTCTCCAACCCCTCGACGGCTCTAACACCCTTTCCGGACGACAGCGGGGCAAGTACGCCGCAAACCCTGAACACAACTGTGTGGCGCTCTCTCCATGCCGACTTCTCTTCGCCGACAGTGCGCGTCGCCCCCACATAGACCTGTTCGAACCCTTGGCTAGGGCGCAAGAGGCTGGCCCGGACCGTCAACGTTTCACAGCTGGATATGCCCACCGTGACCGCAATGCAGTCCATCAACAACTTCCAAAGCGTGGGGCGAGTACCTCCCCATAGTCTCAGATGAGCGTAGATGGAATACGCACTCGCGGATGACGCGTCGCGGACGTAACACAAGTTGGTGCGAACCCACCTTCCATTCCGGCCTCTGAGACACAAGTTCCTGCAGCTCTGTTGATAGTACATTACTTGGACAACGGCGAGAAGTCAATATAGTGGTCCATACATTGAAGATATGGGAGTCATTAGGGCGTCACGGAGCATCGATCTAGGTTGGGTCAAGCCATGTCAGCAGCGTCCACAACAACGGACTCTTTGCGGTCTAAATTGGATTGTGTATCGACGGAGTCCACTGTGTTCCCTAAGAGGCCGTGAGGAACGGCCTTCAGCTCGATCGCGGTCGTGTCAGAGGCCGCGAAGCTCGACACATGGACGTGCTGTGGACGCGATCATCGTCAATTGATGTGACATGTGATGAACATCCATAGGCGTCGACGCACCTGCTCCACCTCGATGGGCACCTCGATTCGACGGAAGTTCAAGGACATATCGGAGCGGGGGTTCTGCTTGACAATAGTCGACCTGAACTGCTTGCTCTCGTCCATCATGACGCCGTGGTTGATGAGCGACTGCCGAGCATTCAGCCTAGTAGGAACGTGAGCGAAGCCAAGGCAAGGCAATTGTCGCAGTGAACTTACGAGACG